GCCCTGCTGTAAATTCTGGCTTTGTGAATTTCACTAGTCTTTGTTAAAGTCAAGGCTGAGACAAGACTAAAGAATAAATAAGATTTTTTTAATAAAAAGTATTTTTAACACATTTTCAAAATATTGAATTTTGCCACCATTTAATAAAAGCAAAAAGCTATGTGTTACAATACTTAGTGATTTTAGATGAAGGGGGTCATAATCTACTTTTCTTAAAATCACTGTAGAGTAAATAAATTGGCATGCTAATTTGAATATGTTTTCATGTCAAGAAATCACAGTTGTTTGTCCCACAAATTTTCAATTTTCAGTTTCTATTATTACTTTTACCAAAAAACAGATTTTTCTACCTCAGTAAGCATATTTCTTTTTATTGTGTCAAATAACATTGAAAAGTTCATCCTCATGACACTGGAGTTGTGACAGGGAAATGTGATGGAGTGGAATATTCTATGCAAAACTGGCTGTCAGACTCCTTGTTATTAAGATTAGACCTTCTAGCATCAGTTTTTCAACAGTAAATTACGTGACTTTAATGTTTCAAAATATTTCATAAAAAATGCAGAGCAGGTATTGAGTTTTGGAATATTGTCTGCACTGCAGTGACAGTGATGCAGTGATGGCAAGTTACTGTGTATTGCGCTGGTATAAGTTGATCAGACACAGCAGTGCTGCTGGAGTTTTTAAACACCTCATTGTCACTGCTGGAGTGAGAATAGTCCACCAACCCAGAATATCCAGCCAACAGTGTCCTGTGAGCAGTGTCCTGTGACCCTTGATGAAAGATTCTGTCACAACTCCAGTGTCATTAGGATGAACTTTTTAGGGGTTATTTAGTACAAAAAAGTAATATGCTTATGGAAGATGACTAAAACAAACTGTGCAGCAACAGATGAGCTATTGTCTCTGACCACATCTACAATTTGGACCAACAAGATAGGAGTGTCTAATAGAGTGGACAGTGAATGGACAAAGTGTTTAAAAACCTCAGCAGCACTGCTGTGTCTGATCCACTCTTAAGTGCAACACACGCTAACACGCCACCACCACATCAGTGCCACTGCAGTGCTGAGAGTGATCCATCACACCAACAATATCTACTCTGTGGCGGTCCTGACCACTGAAGAAAAAAGTAAAAGGGGACTATCTATCTGCAGAGAAAAAAAAAGTAGAGAAACAGATGGACTACAGTCTGTAATTGTAGAGCTACAAAATGTACCTATATGGCAAATGGACCGGATAAAATGGATAATGAGTCTAGAAATAAGCATACTTAATGAAGTGGCTGGTTGGTGTATATATACAAATATATATTTAACTTCCAATAATATATATAATAATATAATAATAACACTATGTTGATGAACATGAACGTATAAAGACCACATACATGTATTTAAGCCTGAAAAACACTTGACGGATTTTTATCTTATACACAACTTTCTAAAACAGTACTCTGTTTACTCTCTAAATTGATTGGCTTATTACTCATTTTACAACACTGATGAAGTCTTCATGTAGGTTGTTATGAATCCTTATGTCAGAGTTTTATCATTGTAGCACTGATGTGCACTGCACTAATGTACTAACTTTGTCTTTGACACGACTGGATGAAGAGGGCTTTTCAGAGGGCTCATATCATACAGTGGAAAACAGTAGCAAGTCGTTTTGGAGTAATTGCCAAATTTCCAACTGAACTAAGAAAGCAGTGGACTGGCTGCGTAAAATAAAAACTTGCTCTCACCAGATTTGTCATTTGAATGACTCAGGTACTGGCAAAGGCAACTGTAATGAACAGTTTGTTGTTTTCTTTTAGTTGACCAGTAGTACAACAATGGCAACCAATCCCCAATCAATGTTCCCCATACTCATATGCGCACTCATACTAACTCAGATGTTTGCTGGAGCACAGTAAAACCTAATACATCCCACACTAACCTTTTTACTCTATAGAACGCTGTCACAGTGCTTGAGGACTAGCTAGACATTTACTTTGGCTACTGCTGCATCCTGATGTACAGAAATCCTCATTAAAGAGAGCTGCAGGATGACCTAAAAGCAGCAGGGACAGCAGTTACACAGAGAACAATAAGCAATGATCTGCACTGCATTCAAATTCAATCCACACAAATGTGGCACTGATTGAGTTAAAATTTGACAGAATTCTGACAGAATTTCTCCACTCTCATACACTGGTCTATGAATGAGAAATGAAACTACAGCACACTCTTGTTATTACAGTCAGGCCAGTAATAATAATAAGTGACAGGCCCAGGTGTGACTATAGAGCATCGTCAATACAATTATTTGGAATAGAAACCCCACAGTTATATTTTATGAGATTGAAGTTATCTAATATAACATTTTGTACTGCCATGAGAAGTCATGACTAAAATGTGCCATATTTCTCTTTACCCTTTTTCAGTAGTACGGCAATAACAGCTTTCCACTGCAGCCCTGTGTTAGTCCAAAAGCTGTATGTTGATATTAGTCCATGTTTCTGGCTCAGATTTTATTACTGAATTTTTCAAGATGATGAAGAGACGATGACCTAGATACTTCTGAACTTCTGCCAATTTATGAAGAAAGTTAATATTGTGTCATTGTGACCTTACATGGAAATAGAAGCACATTCATTCTTTGAAATGGAACAAAGCTATCATATGCCTGCACGGCACCCCAAAGCAAATCTTTGGAATGTCTTATTCCACTACTGAAATATACAGGCTGTTCCAGTCTGACACCGCAGAGGGAAGCCAAAGTCTGTAGAAAAACTAATTCTTTCCAGGCAAGATGATGCCGCTTGCCAGCAATACACATGACACGTAACAAGGGTCCAAAATATGCAAACCTTTCTCTTCATTCATTAAGTCTGAAGAAAGGTCTACCACTACTGAAAGCATGGAAGCATGTATATATTGAACAAAAAGACAATCAAACAGGTTAAATTCCAAATGGCTCCCTAATGGCACTATTTGACTGTAGAAACCATTAGTTCAGAGGCTCCCAATCCCAAGTCCTGGCAACCACACTTTGTGCACATTATGTCTCATCTAGCTAAAGGAGACACACACACACACACACACACATTTTCTAAGCCGCTTATCCTTCTGGGTCGCGGGGGGAGCTGGAGCCTATCCCAGCTGTCATTGGGCGGAAGGCAGGATACACCCTGGACAGGTTAGCTAAAGGATAGTTTAGTTTAAAACTAACAAGCGTTAATGAATGACTTAGTAAAGATTTTTTGCACAAACTTGTATGGTGCAACTCAGTGTGTTGAGTAGAGTAGGGGAAACTCTGTATGTAGCGCAACTTATACACTCTTAGCAAAAGGGGGTTCTATATAGTGCTGAAAAAGGGTTCTTTGACTCCTAACAATAGTATAGAACCACTTTTAAAAGGGTTCTTTAAAGAACCATATGCAATATTATTTTTTCATAGAGAAGACGTGTTTGACCAGGTAGAAAACTTGCTTGCTTATATGGGCAGCTGATGCACATTCTCAAAATGATAAAACATAAAAACAAAGTCTACAAACTTAAAAAGAAGATGGCTCTTCAAGGATTCTTTAGCAAATGTAATGATTTAGAAACATTAGTTCCATGTAGAACCAATTCATGCTTAAATGGTTCTTTGCATTGTGAAATGATGCTTCAGATTGATTTAGAACATGTTGTATATAGTGTACATAATTGTATATGGTTCTATTGAAAATGGTTCCATATAGCACCAAAGCGTTCTGCTACTGTTACAAGTCAAGCTTGTAACAATGGTAGAGCCCTTTCTGGTGCTGTATAGAACCATATACAACATATTCTCGATCTGAAGAACCATTTCATTATAAAAAGAACCATTTACACATGAAATGGTTTTATATAGAACTCATAATTCTAAATACAATGATTGCCTTTACTAAAGAACCCTTGAAGAATCACCCTTTTTAAGTGTGTATATTTTATTCTCTTTGTAAGCTTTGGCATAACATTAAATGAAAACAAGAAACAGTAAACACATATAAGATTATTTACTGCTCCAGGCATGTTTGATATGGCTCCTGTTGTTTTCCTTTATTTCCATATCAGAAATGACACAGAAATGGCAGCGGGATGGAATGTGGCAAAATAAAGTGCAAGTGAACATGTACCACAGCAGAGAAGTAGTTTGCTTCATAAATCAAAATTTGAATGTTGCACATTGAACACTATAGTTTTTTTAATCTTATAGTTTATAGTTATAAGGTAAAATTCACCTCTGTACTAGCACGGCCCTTATTATAGCACTGGGGGATTCCCCAAAGGGAAATAGTTAAGTAAGTCAAGGAGGACATGTTAAAAACAGTATTGAAAAAGAGAGTTTGGCTAAAAAACAAGAAGCGCCCTTCCTATATGAATTTATTTACACCATAGATATATTTAGACTGTCAGGTAGTTAGGTTAGTGCTCCCACCTCCCTACGTAATGGCACACATGTGTTGATTCACTGGCCATTTGGGATAGTAGCCTAAATAAAATGATGTTTCAGTTGTAGACATAAGTACTATTGTAAAGAAGTCAGTAAGTATCTTTACTATAAACCATTTCACAGCAAACCACGACATCTCAGAAATTTTTAAAAATTACTTTTTACTAGGCAGACAGCGTCCTTTTACACCTACTTTTGGAGACCGAATGGCTGTAATTTTTCTCCCCAAAATGCATCTTCCATTTTGAGGCGCATTCTCTGAGAACTCCTCCTCGAAACTGAACTCCCTTTTCAGAGATGAGTTTTTACATCGTGGTGGGATTGGGCAGATAAAAGTGGGCGAGAGCCGGGCATCATTTTTCTTCCCTCCCGTAATCCGATAAACCCTGCCTCCTGCGCTAGGATTGGCCAGAAGTTCATCCACACCAGAAGTTCGCGCCGAAGGGCGGTGCTTGTCGGAATACGGGTAGGGGGGAAATGGTAGCGAGCCACAGCAAACAGGTAGGGATGCCGGCTTTTTGCGCCTTCGGAACGGAATTATGTAATTAAGCCCCAAGAGCAGACCCACATATCTTGTATCCAGATACGACTGACAGATACTTTCCAAAGTATATATAAGACAGGCAACTGAAAGCTCTCAGACCCTTTGAGTAACGGCTCGTGTGGATCTAGTGGACTGCGTGGAGTTTATTGAGATTACGAAGCGACCTGCTTTTCATCATCATTTTTATCATTTTTTTCTTTTTATATCGAATGTTATATTTATTTGCAGAACATATGTGTTTATTTTCCTTTTTGCTTCTTAGAGAATAGTTTTGCCTTTATAGTGGGATTACACATTTAACAGGTAAACGGATCTCTTATAACTGCTTACGTTTTCCCTCCAGCGTATGTAGTTACAGAAGGGGACAAAAAGTGTCTTTTCTTCGGAAACGTTTTTACGGGCAAAATTGAGACTTCCCTTTTCGCCATCTCTAGGCTTTAGATGCAATGGAACCTTTATTCGCTGTGATTTACTGCACATTAATGGTCTTTCGAAAAATAATTTGGAGTATTAAGTGGAAAATATCTGTATATTTAACACGATTGTAATGCAAACGAAAACAACAGTCTATTTTCCTAAAGTGCTCAATAGTGGTGGCACTGATGACAAGCAGTAATAATTGTTTGCTTTAAATGTTGTGTATTTTAAAGGAGATATGATACTCAGGAGAATTCCTTTCTTGCTGCCCATGCTGTTGCTATGCACCACAGCACTACCTCAAGGTAAATACTGCACTTATATTCATTATTACTGCAATCATAAATGCTTTTTCTATTAATAAATAAGTAACATTTACCTATTATAAATAATCAGCTGTAAATACATTTAACATCTGGTATGTAAGTCTAAGATCTATTATAGAAAGTTTGTAGTGGTTAAGAATTGTTTATGGTGAGTTAATGGGCTAATGCACATTTCCTACAGTTCTCTTTGTGATAAACTGTGGCAGACATGCCAAGTTGCCAGTTTGTTAGGTACCTCCAATGTTCAACCCATAATTTCACTCTTGGGTATACCTACCTTGTATATGCACTCGGTTGCATTTTATGGGCATACTATTACTATCGTCACTGTAGCCACATAATCTGTCGGCCACCTTCCACCTCTTCCATAAATGGAAAGGGACTGCCATATTACCACGGCTGACAATATTTAGTAGTTATACCTGATTATATTGGCAATGTGCACAGGTGTACCTAATAAACTGTTAAATCAGTGCTTCACATTGTGGGTCAACTTTTTTGTTATGTCCATTCAAAGAAGGCCAGGTGGAAGACGAGTCCAGTTTCGACCTGTTTGAGATCAGCCACATCACCAGAAAGACAATTGGCGCCAAGCTATTCAAGGGTCATGACTGGGATTCTCCAGCGTACCGCTTTATCCGTTTCGACCATATTCCACCAGTCAGTGCCCCAGTGCTTCAGCAGCTCCTAAAGCAGATCGAGAACAACGAGGGTTTTGTGTTTGTGGCCTCCATACGCCAGGACCGGGGTTCCCGTGGCACCCTAATGGGCCTGGAGGGTCCCGATGGCCGCCGCCAGTTTGAGATAATGTCCAATGGACGTGCCAATACTCTGGACTTGGTCTACTGGATGGAGGGCTCTCAGAACGTGGTGTCCTTCGAGGATGTGGATCTAGCAGACTCACAGTGGAAGAACATCACACTGCATGTTCATGGGGAAAACGCAAACCTCTACGTGGGCTGCAGCCTCATAGACAGCTTCATCCTGGAAGAACCTTTCTATGAGCACTTGCAGGCAGAGGGCAGCAAAATGTATGTGGCCAAGGGATCTATCAGGGAGAATCACTTCAGGGTAAGACACGTCTGTCTCCATGAACCCTGTATTCAGATGGTGTCTGTCCTGTTATACTTTCATAATGACAACCTTCTGAGGGGTAAAATTGTTTGTAGATAATATGATGAATATATTTTATAAAAGACAAGCCATAAATGTTGAGCTCTGTAGCATTGTAGCATCTTGTCTAAACAGTCCAGGTTTCACTCTAAAAAATACAGAGTTGTAAAAGGTTCTTGGCTTGCAAATATGGTTGTAGGAAAAAAAACTTTAGCTGGTATACAACCTTTATATTATATGTAGGTTTTTTAAACTGTAACACTCCCACATCTCATTTACAAAAAGGTGTTCTTTTAAGGACCATGAAAGATTCTTTGGGGACCCAATAAATGCTTTGTGGGTTAAACCACTAGGCAGTTTTACATTTAGAGCAGCTGGACATTTTAACCATTTTTGCTTTTGCCTTAACGTAATTACAGTCTGAAATCATTGTTGTAGTAGATATGCACAGCACTAACACCTCTCTTTTTTTGCAGGGTTTGCTGCAGAATGTTCGTTTAATCTTTGATTCATCAGTGGAAGATGTTCTGAGAAACAAGGGCTGTGAGGCTGCCAAACCTGGTAAGGAAGCTGCAACCAGAATGCTCTCATCAACAAGCTAAAATTTACAGTTAACAAGATAGCATGATCTAGATTAATTAGATATCTAGATACCTCCGTTTGGCTTATTTTCTGTGGCTGAAAGGATAGAAATTCTCTGTCTCTGATGTCCATTTTGTGATGAATAAAAATTGTTGTTTTATTATCCTACATATTTTTTGACCCTATATATCAGTGGCTACGCTAGTCTTGCAGGTCCAGACATGATCTTGTAATGAGAATATATGTCAGGGCTCAACTTCTAAAACTTTGATGCTGGATTGCAGTGAAAGCCTCTGCAAACAAGAGTACACTCCCTCTGAAACCTTCTCCCAAATTCTTGTGCTCCATGTTCTAGAGTACATTCAATAACAAGAGCAAAACAAGTCAGCTAGTAAAATACAATTGCTAGGTAACGGAACTGGTTTTCCCTTGCAAGAAGTAGTGTCTATTTTTAGCACATGTAATATGTTCTCTTCCCACGCAACACGTATATCTACAGTGCTGTGAAAAAGTATTTGCCCCTCACCTGATTTCTTCTAGTTTTGCTAATTTGTCACATTTAAATGTATCAGATCAACTCATTTTAAAATTAGATAAAGATAACATGAATAAACATAAAATTAAGCTTTTAAATGACCATTCCATTTATTGAATATAAAGATTTATTCAAAACCTATATCACCCATGTGAAAAAGTAATGGCCCCCTAAACCTAATAACTGGTTGTGCCACCCTTGGCAGTAACAACTGCAAATGTTTGCAATAATTTGCCATGAGTCTTTTAACATCACTGTGGAGCAATTTTGGCCCACTCTTCGCAGAATTGTTTTAATTTGGCTACATTGGAGAGTTTTCGAGCATGAACTACCTATTTAAGGTCTTGCAACAGTATCTCAGTGGGATTCAAGTCAGAACCTTAATTTTGTTTTTCTTGAGGCATTCAGAGGTGGTCTTCTTTGTGCGCTTCAGATCATTGTCTTGCTGCATAACCCAACTGCACTTTTAGGTCACACACTGACAGGCAGACATTCTCCTTCAGGATTTTCTGACAGGGAGCGAATTTCATGGTTCCATCAATTATGACAAGTCATCCAGGTCCTGCAGAAGCAAAGCAGTCCCAGACCATCACACTACCACCACCATGTTTGACTGTTGATATGATGTTCTCATGGTGGAATGCAGTGTTAGCTTTACACCAGATGTAATGGAACCCATGTCTTCCAGAAAGTTTCACCTTTGACTCATCAGTCCACAGAATAATATCCCAAAAGTCTTGGCCGAAATTGGGAGGGAACAAATACTTTTTCACAGCACTGTACATACATAATTGGAGCTTTTTGGGGGTACTTTTTTTTAGACATTCAAACATTACATCCATGGGCTATCAGTAAGTTTGTTGTCCATCGGACATTGCTGATGAGTGCAACATGGCCCTTTATATTGAAGCTTTGGTTTGGTTTAAAAATTTCAGGCTCAGTTTGTTCCCACCCTATACCATATTTTTTTTATTTTTAGTGAAGATGTGTAGTTAGTCCTTTTAGTCATCAGCTCATGCCAAAATAACAAGTTAAATTTTCTCCTGGATGTCAGATCTGCAGATGTTGATTATATTTTCTTTGAGACAGACACGAAGCCTGTAGACCATGGGTTTTGGAGATTTCTTCTACTATCAGGTCATGGTTATGAGAAGTGCAAACATATTGTCTGACTCAAAGCAAATATAATCAGCATCTGCAAATCAGACATGATAGTCTACTTATAGATACTCATTATTAGAGCTTAGTAGTTTAAAAGGAGAAATACTGGATCAGTATCAGCGGACACAAGTTTCAATATCAGTACCAGAAAAGATAAAGTGGTGTCATGCCTTTTTTAGTTAAAAAAAAAATAAAACATAATTTCTATGTAACTTAAGATGCACAGAGCAACTGAACACTAAAAAAGGTCACATGCAACACATTTGATTTTCCTTTAGGATCAATGGGCCTAGTTCACCAACAGTTCTTAAGAAGAAATTTCTTCTTAAAATCCACGTATGCAGTTTTCACAATGATTCTGACATTTACCAATGTTTTCTTACTTGGAATTTGTTCTTAGGTAAAAACAGAATCTACACAGACCCAAGATCTCAAAGGCACGAACAATTCTGCGGTTTAAGAACACACCATGAATCTTATATATAAGAGAACCCTTTTCTTAGGACCTTTCTCAAGAGCAAATTTAAGAAAAGATTTAGGAAGATATTGGTAATTGAGGCCTATTGTTACTTGATATTAATACATTGTTTAGCCTGCATTTGCAGCTTTGTATCAATTTTATGCCTATTAATAACCTAGCTACATAGATTATGATGCAGCAGACTAAAAAAAAACTGGACAAACATTGACACAAACAGCCATTCAAACAGGATGTCCCCTCCATCCCCCCATTACTCAGCATGATGCTGGGCGTCTGTTAGCTAATATGACAGAATTGGCACTTAGTGTTCTCCTCTTAATGTGTTGAGCTGTCCAATGACATTGTGTCTGACAGTTTGAAAAGATGCCGCGGCTCACTTTTGTGGACCCTGGAGGAAACTCATGCTAGCTTTCACCCTCCCAGCCTGGTTGCATAATGTGATAGAGAAGAACTAGCTGGCAGATGGAACTGGACATGACTAAATTCAGAGACACATTTGGTAAAAATCACTTCCAAAAAGAGCAAAAAGTGAGTTTCAGGAGGCTTCATGTTATGCTATACAAGTGTAATTTAGTTTCATGTACATTGCAAAGAGCCAAACCTACATAAATGGCCAATAGCCCAGTTTAGGAGTGCCTTGGACTATGTAACAGGCAAGAATGACAATACTGTATGTCAGTGTGTTTTTCTAATAGAAGGTCACTGACCTACAGTACAAAACATATCTATTTTTTGTTCTTTATTTGTCTTAGGTTTGGTGTGCATAGTTTTATCAAGGAATTGAATATCCTGGCTACAAAGCATAATAACAAGTCTTGGGTTCAAGGATATATTTAGCAGAGCCTTCTCCATATAAATAGACTTCTAAGAATAGCTGACTCTGAGCAGTACCTGCATATGTACACACACAAACAGCTATGCCCTCTCTGTCGCTCTCTTTCTCTCTCGCTCAAATATACACACATACTTTTCACTCAGCAGTGATAGAAACCCATAGGAGATTTGATTGAGTCCAGCAGACTTGGGAAAAGTGCATATGAAGCATTACTTTTGAAGGGACTTCTGGGTTGGGCCAACCTGCTTGTGTGATTTAGACTCTCCTGTCTTCCATTTATCTGCAGGAATTTACACAAGTGACCTCGAAATGGTCACAGACACCTAATTCGAGTCTTGGCCAAATGATAAGCATTCCTTTGTCTTTTTGTATTCCATATCTCTTGGACATGCTCTGGGACTTCTGCTTCATTTTTAAAAGTAATTTCTCTGTAGCTTCTATAGAGTATTTATCACATTCAAGTTAGAGTGTAAAGAAAACTCAAGGAATATCCTAAACAAATATTCTCAGTTGCTTTTCTACCATTTTTAAACTGTGTGTTTTCATTGTAAGTTTGCTTTCCTTTTGTTCCCTCATCTCTATTGTCAGAAGGAAAGGGTAGATAAGCCAACAGCCAAGCAAAAACAGGCTTACTGCCTTTCAGCAACTCTCAGGGCTAGATTTGGACTGCATGCTGGAAAGATTCTGATCCCCTTCTAAGAATCCTTGGAAAAACTGTAGAAGCAGACATAAGCTGTCTCTGTGTCTAATTTCTGAGAATCATGAATGTGCCAGACCTGCAAGAGACATGTGCCAGGGAGGAATTCATGTCAGTGTTATATGAGAAGCACAGTATTCTCATGTAGCATTGGAATATTATTTTTGCTCATTGTCAAAAATACTGCCATACTTTATACTCTTTAAGGTGCTCTTTCCACTGGGCAATGCTTTATGATATGATGTGGTTAAAAATCCACAATCATGCATTTTGTCATCCTTTCCACTGCAAAGTAATCTGTACTATACCTGAGTATCTGTGCTAAATAAGATTATTATTCTTTCTGGGGTACCTAGTGGGCCAAGCCAGAACACATGAGTGGAGCTAGAAATTAAGATTCAGAATATGCAGATCATCGATTAGTCAAATGCAATCATCTATGATTCGTCACGCATCATTGCCCAAGTCAGATAAAAGCCATTTCTAAAAACACTAGCTTAGCAGAATTACAGTCTGTGCTCTTCACATAAAACCAAATGCTGAATAAAGATAAATCAGAATTTGAAGGTCCTCCATTGCTGCTGCTGTTTGTGCTTAGTGTTAACATTAGATTCATGAAAGAAATCATATGACCTAGCAACCTCCAGGGAACCTTGCCTATTAAGACAGTTCTGTTGTGCATTACAAAATGGACAAAAGTACTCAACCACGGTACAAATAGTTCTAGGTTCAGATTAGTAACTGTACTGTAGCGAACTGCACTGCCCAGTTGAAAACACCTTTTACAGGACACTTTATTAGAAACACTGACCTTGTTGGTTGACCTTGTAGACATACAAGTAAAGACTATAGCTCATCTTTTTTGACGCACAAATTTTATTCATCATCCTGTAGCCCGTTAAGACCACAGTTGGTGGGATATTTTTGGTTAGTGGATCATTTTAAACCCAGCAGTGACCCTAAGTTATTTAGCTAATAATCTTGCCATAAAGCTGCTTGAAAAATTGTGAACCCTTTATCATTTGGTGAATTTCTACATAAATGTGACCTAAAATATGACCAGATCTTCATTTTACTTTAACAGTAGATAAAGAGAACCCAACTAAACATATAACACAACGGACTATATAGTTTTTCATTAATTTATTGAACTAAGTAATCTAACAGTAAATGTCTTTGTTGGCAAAAGTATGTGAACCTCTGCTTTTAGCAACTGGTGTGACCCACTTGAGCAGCAATGACTTAAACCAAGCGGTTACTATAACTGTTTGATCAGCTCTGAACATTGACTTGGAGGAATCAGTCCGTCTTAGAGAACTGCTTCAATGTGTTATGTTGGTGGGCTTTCTTGCATGAACACCACAACTTCTGGTTCTGCCTCATTTCTATTGGAATAAGGTCTGGACATTAAATAAGCCATTCCAAAATGCTACATTTCTTCTCCTTTAACCATTCTTTGTACACTAACTCTTGTTTTTATGGTTGTTGTTCTTCTGTAGGGCCCACCTACTGTTGAGGCTCAGTTCATGGATTGATGCCATAACATTCTCCTGTAGAATTTCTTGATACAATATAGAATTCATCGTCCCATCAAATGATGGCAAGCTGTCCTGGTCCAGTTTCAGCAAAACAACCCGAAATTGTAATACACACTATGTGATACACAAAGTTGGGATGAGGTTCTAATGCTGGAATCCAGTGTTTGGTTTTGCCAAACGTAACATCTCTCATTTACTCCATAAAGATCCATTTTTGCCTTATCTGTCTATATAACATTAATTCGGGTGGTCTTTAGGAAACTTTAAACAAGAAAAATTTCTTTCTGGAGAGTAGTGACTTTCTTCATGTTATTATTACATACATTATATTCTTGACGCCTGAATGTTTGAGGTCCCCAGAAATCTCATTTGATTGAGATATGGCATGCACTAAAAACAGGATATGATTTTTAAACAGGATATCTATTTGATTAAACCTCCTGACCTCAATTTTTACTGGCACCAAGCTGATAATTCTCAATCTCAAAATTTTAATAAATGGATGAAAAACTACATGCTTGTTTCTGTTATTTGTTTTATTGCATTCCCGTTATCTCTTATTATCTATCAAACTTTCAAGCTGCACTCTATATAATTTTTTTACCTGAAAATGTTTCTGTCTCTCTCAGAGGAAGTAAACGTCGTTAGTGAGAGTGCGGAGATTGTGGATGTCAGTCCAGCCATATCCACAAACTTCATTGGTCAAAAGATGGAGAAGGCAGTGTCGGACACATGCGAGCACTCCTGTGAGGAGCTCAGCTCCATGTTCCAGGAGCTCAGGGGTCTCCGCATTGTGGTGGGCAACCTCATGGATGGATTGCAGAAAGTAGTAAGTCACTGCCTTACCTCTTTTAACTGGAGAACTTACAGCTTGCTTGTATCAATGCTGTTAGTGTCTTCAGCTGTTAGCACCTTCATCTGCATTTGTGTAAGGAATACTTCAGCATTCTAATCTGTAATCTCTATCTGCTGCAACTGTAGCATGCCATCCATTAACATAGGCAATGATTTTTACATGTTACATGTTACACTCTAACAATGATGGTTGAGACTGGCTTTAGAGAATGTCAAAGCTGTTCTTATGATGTTTTATCCAACTTTGAAAAACAAAGGACAAATTCTTCTCTTTACAAAACTAGTCCCATCTCTGAAAAGACTAACAGCTTAATCTGCAAATGCCTTTGACTGAAAAAATCAATGAAAGTGTTTTACAAAAATTAGTGTTTTGCATAAACATTTTATTCACAGAATTCAGCAGCTTAAACTGGATTCTGTCATAAGTGTTTTGAGTCAGCGGGTTTCAGTACGGGAAACATGATAAAATTCTTGCCCATGTTAATCCTGTATACTACAGATAAAGCAGATGAAGAATGTACGCTGGAGAATTCCTCTAAGGAAAATGGATGTGAAGGAATTACTGAGGTGCAGTTTTCAGTTAGTATATTAATATGTCCTGGTGTTACATGCAAACATGACTGTAGTACATGGCAGCCCATATATTTTAGAGCAGGCATTTGTAACTGGGGGCCTTCCGGGCCAAAGTGCTGTGGATATTGGCATTTACCCTTGTCTAATGCTCTGAGTTCAGTTCATGAAGCCCTTCCTAATTGGCTGGTGAGCCAAATCAGTGTGTTTAATGAGGCAGTGTTCTGAAGTCTGCAGTGTTTTGGCCCGCGAAGACTGGAGTTTGACACCATCAGAGGTTAGGCTATGAAAACTTGGCCCCGTGGTCATCTACACAGTGAAAACTCCTTTAAAGTTATTAATAACCTAAATAAATAGTAAGATAAAATATTTTAAAAAAGATTTTGCCATTGAACAGATTCTTGGCCAAACTCGAAATTCAGACACACTGGACTGAAAACCAAAAACAAAAACTGGAAAAAGCTGAAAACAGTTTACATAAATGAGATGATTTAAATTAATTACAACTTTTAGGACAGTTTGTACCACAATATCTAATCAACAACAGAGAATGGCTGATTAATCAATGAATTCCATTGTTTTTGTACTTTACTCTTGTGCTTATACTTTAAAAACCGAGGCTACAGATGGTGTGAGCATGCTACCAGGGACTTTCCTTTCTGTTGTTTTGATACATTCTGTGTATTGAGCAATATGAACAGAGGTTATAACTCTGTGTTTAACCTCTCATAAATTGTACAACAGCTCCATGTGGCCAACAGTTCCACAGTTTATCTGCTGCTGCTCAAACTGAATGAGACTGCACTGCACTGTGAAAATAACATCCTCTACAGAGAACACACTTCTGCACAATTACTGTTTAGTACTATGAATTTAACAATTACTATGAAGTTAACATACTGGAATAAAAAGACAAACAGAAATTGGGCCCATGTAAAAGTTATGGCATTTATGGTATTTTTATTGTTCAAACTGAGCAAATAAAGAGAAAAAGTGCATCAACAGAACATGTAAATTCACTGTAGGTGTTCAAACTTTAGCATATGACTGCACATGAACAATATAGGACATCATAATCAGGTCACAGTTCCCACATCAGTGAATTCATTCCTGCACTGAACTTTTGTAGGGCTGTAGTATGAACTTGAGATGTTTTTTGTCATCTCTGACTTGTCTTGCACTTCATAGTATTTGCACTCAGACTTGTCTTGATCTCAGACATTGGTCTTGGCTGATTTATTTTCTGGTCTCAACAGAGTCCAATTATCATTTGACTCGCACTGAAGCACCAGAGTAAACCGGAGTGGAGCTTTACTTTTGGGAAACAGAGCTCAGCTCTGGTATTTTAAATTGATGGAAATGTAAACTGTTTCATAGAAAATCTTTGTGACTTTAAAACCCTTAAACAGTTACACATTCACCCCTACCACATTTGTGTTGGTTGGAGACAAGGTATTTTATTATGATCTGAATTTGATAGAGTTGTTTTGTGCACACAGTTTTGTTTTGTGGAAAGAAAATCATCCCTTTATATTTTTACAGTTATTTATACTGGAAGGAGCAAAAAGACTAATTAAGGCTTGGTCTTGAACACGACTCAACTTTTTAGCGTTTTGGTCTTGACCCAGTCTTGCTTTCATTTGGACTCTGTTTTGATTTGGTTTTGCTTTCATTTGGACTCAGTCTTGACTTGGACTCAGCCCCCTTTAGACTCAACTAGTCATGGTCTTGGACTTGTCTTTGACTTAACAAAGAGGGTCTTGAATGTCTTGACTACAGCCCTAAACTTTAAGTCCTCAAAGTTAAATAAGCACTCATGAGCACATTGCTGGCATTTTACTGGGTACATACAGAAAAAAAAACTAATCATCAAACTTCCCTTAAATAATGACTTCTGGCAGGAGTTAGCATTACATTATAATAAGTTTTTCCCTCAACTTAGAAATGCTTTTGTGAAGTTAGTTTAACAAAAATTAGTCTAATGGAACATTTTCCAGCAGCATTCAGGGTTTTATGGCTCATTTTATCAGGACGTTAAGGAAGTTTTCTCTCGGTTGCAAGTGGGAGCTGAACGGTGTCTGGATGTGTTTAAAAAAAACACACACACACATACTTTCTTCCTTTGGGAGGCTCCCAGTAGTGAGGGAGTCTGGGCAATGATCTCTGGGAAATTCAGCTGCTGCATGCAGCCGGTCCCTGAGGCTCATGCAGACCGCGTGGTGTGCCATTTTGCAAGGCTGAAACCACACACAGACACATGCGGTTCATTTTCATCTTAATCCGCAAAACTCTCATGCGTATGCATGCTTCAGCATAAATACACTCATAAACCTTCATTCTTAGTTGTGCTTAGTTGTTGTTATTAAATAAACAATATCATCTCTTTTGTTTTTTCTCTTGCTCCCGTCCTTCATTTTCACTTTGCCTCTTTCTTTGATTCTTTCTTAATCACGCCTGTACACTCTTAAAACAAAGGTTCTTGACTTGGATGTTTGGTTCTAGGAAAACTTTTAACTGGTTTAGAACCTGCACATTACGTGGAGGTTCTTTAAAGGGGAATTCTACCAATTTCAGCATAATTAAATCATTAAAATGTGAACAAAGTCAGTAAAAGTGTTGAAATGAAATGCTCTATTGTTCACAGACGTACCAAGTCAGAATTTTTCATAGTGGTGGTGATAGGAATCAGACATGTGAAGCTTTTAAGCAACTCTCTCTTGGCATAAAAGCTCCCTCACAGAAAGTTATTACATTAAAGGGTTATGAATATGCTGCCTGATGCCTGAGACATTGTTTTTCCATTGTTTTGAAATAAGCTTTAGGCATAAACATTATTTTTAATACATTCATGGTGAAGAGGCATTATAAGTCAAAATATAACTATATATAATATTAACTAGATAACAAAAAACATTTTTATTCATTCAGTATTGTGAGAATTTATTAAAACATCACTATGTAAGATTTATTTGTTCAAATTGAAAGACATAGCATTACTAAGTCAGGAGGAAAGAAAACATGTTAATTTATGGTGTGCTATATCCATTCACATTTGCAAGTTGCCCTGTAAAGCCTGAAATAATTATTTAACAGTCAGAGCCGTTGGGTTAGATTTTGTGGGAGTTTTATGGACCACATCATATGTTTTTACCTATTAAAATCACATGCACAGCATCAAAAAGAAGGTCTGGCTTGATGTTTAGGTCTCAAATGTCAAATCATCAAGATAGGATGACAATAGTAGATAATTAACTTATATCCTGGGAAGGCATGTCCGTCACCAAGTTTTGAATGAGTTCTCTTTGAAATACTCTTTCAACGCATTCTCAAACATCAGATTCATCTGCTTGTTGGATGACATTACCAACTGTTCTTCTGCATGTTGCATTTCCCAAAACGTACACAGTGCAGCTTTAAATGATAAATTATATACTGTAGTTCTCCGTTTACAGTCATTTCTGTCAGGATTTCTGCCTCGAGATTTGATCATCACTTTTGAAAAATAAGGCATCCTGGATGTTAAGACTTTGTTTTTGACAAGCTTTCTAAGTCATTTCAGAATGAACCGCAGCTCTGTTCATCATATTGGATACACCTTACATGCCTTGAATATTTACAGCTTTTTTATTTTAAACTAGCATATTAGAATATTTTATCCTCATATTTCAATGGAAGTATAGTTGATAAAATTATGTGGACATGGACAACATGACCTTTGGCAAAAGTAAGTTGGTTATCGAGTGAATTGTAAAGGAACATCTTCTTTGTTTTTCTTATTTTTCCTCATCAGTCATTGTTTGATAGGCCAGGTCACACCTCTGTAACTGGGTTCAGATGTGACTAGAGTTCTTGCTATTTGCTTCTGACTATGTCTCTGTGTAGCACTGATTCAAGTTTGTTTGCCTGAAATGTTTGCTGCCTTGTTTTTAGTTCACATGTGCACCTTGCATGTGAGCACCATGTCTGGCAAATTAAGAAAAAGTTTTGAAAACTCGACTTAATTTTGTTTTACTTTGTGGCTTTTTTAGGCCTTTATTTTGGTGTTTATTTTGTGTTTTTGCATCTTTTTCTTTTAGTTGCATCGTTGTATACACCCACAATTAAAAATCTTTCTAGTAGTCACTGCGTTTAGGGTGCAGTTTGAAGATCCCTGTTGGTATTGGATTGGATTTTTGATTGGTATGTCTACTGTAAAATGTTTTGAAACAAATCAGTGGGTAATTTGAGTTTTGTAAACATTAATCATACAAATCAGTAATTAGCAGCTAATTAATCAGCACTTAATACATATTAATCATTATTATAAAACGGATAGTTCTGGTCTTAAAATTTGATTTCCTGAGCCGCGTTCGAAGCCGTTGTAAAATCCACGATAGCCTAGGTTTCAGTCACGTGTTTTTTTTG